GGTGGAGACGGGGTGGAAGTGGGATGGAAAAGATGTACTCGAGAGAAAGAAGGGGATCACATAGGTATTTATACTGTTTTAGGAGAGGAAATGACGTTGGGGTGATTGCTAATTATTGACAGCCGAGTCTGATTGAACTTGGTTGTTGTCATTCCCACCGGACTTTCGTTAACTCCATTTGTAATTTATTGCCTTGACAATCTTCTTTGGCCTTGGGGTAGGTCATTTCACTTACGTCTACATTACAATACCATTTGGTTTCACTCAAAACTGTGCATTAATTTAAAAATACTGTATAAACCGGACCCAGATAATTTAGGCTACCCAGAAGAGTAACAGTTGACTGCAAGCTGCCTCTTGTTGGTCACCAGCACAGGAACTATAACAGAGAGCCAGGGCTGAATCAATATATTTCAGTGGGATTAGTAAACATCTTAAATAAGAATTTGTTTGCCAACACTTGTTATGATGACAGGTTTAGTATAATTTCAATATTTAAACAATGAATTTTAGAATTAGCACCCTGTAACAAGACAAAGCTGAAGGCTTGAGCAAAGAATTAGCATGTGTGTATCACATCACATACTGTGCAGGTTTTTCTACTACATCTGAATTGTACCCTCATGATGGGGCTACAGACATGGCACATCTGACCATCTACTCAGAGGCCTCTTCAAGATGAAGGGATTTTAAGTCATAATAATAGATTATTTCCCAATGTCTGCAATGAAGGTTGAAAGAAGGGATTCTAAATGCCGTACATAAATGAATTGCCTTTTATGTTTCACAACATATTGTGAACTCCACCTCCACCATATAAGCAACCTCAGATGCTCTCTGTCATAAGGCTCTAACTCCACCGTGTGGTGGCTTGTGGAAATATTTCACTTGTTGTCTTGTCGGCTTTAAGTGTACCATGAAAATGCAGTTTCCTTCCTGTAGAACTATTAAATCTTGTTCACATAGTGCTATTAATGGGACTCTAATCAACCTAATAAAATGACCCTTACCTCTAACTCTTATTAAAGTTATTAAAGCACAGATATATTACCAAGACAATACAGAGTACATGACAAGCAGATGAGCTCAATAGTATCTTGTGTACTCTAACCTGGCTATCAGATTAATTTGCTAGAGTTTGTGGAACTGTGGTTTTCATTATTCCAAGGATTTCTGTGATAATGTATTATAGTACTTATAAGAGCATTTAGAAAGAAATTACATTTCTCTCTAGGCCTAAAACAGTTATAGCAACAGTAACCATTAACAGTAACCAAATTTACAAAAAAGCTCACGGGTGATGCAATGGCATGGGGAGTTAGGAATATGCTGAGTCTTGTGGTACCTTCTATGTGGACATTTTCTTCCTGTGGATGCTCCACCTCTCACCTCCCAGCCACAGGCTGGCAAGGTTAATTTGTGCCTTTCAGTGTGGTTGTGTGCCCTGCGATGAAATACAGTCATCTGCAGTCCTACAGCCACATTTATGAGCTTTTATAATTAAAATTAAAAAAAAACAACCTAACCCTTTTTAAATAATTTAAGATTTACTTGTTATTTTTAGGAATATTTCTCTCTTGTTTTTCTTTCTCTTTTGAACCAAAAGCCCAAAGCCTTCACCTGTGACAGTAGATTAAACTCCAGGAATCTGAAAACATCTCTGGTTTGCTTGTAGAAACATTCAAATCTTGTGTCAGTAATGGTGAGGAAGTATCTCTTGGTTCCTGATTCTTCACCAGATGCTGAGAAGGTGTTCAAGGGTTCCCCACAGCTTCTTCACAGCTGTCAAGTCTGAAGAGTTTTAGTACTTACCTCCATTCCAGTCCACAGGCGCTAAACACCCGGTCTTTGTTACTTCGGTCCAAGTCTGGTATTTTTCCTTCCACTCTGTTGTTTAACATGCATCACCATGTTACTTTGTAACAATTTTTGACATTCTGATCACAGCACGAGAAAGACTGTGCATGCTGTACACCAGAAGACAATAAAAAAATTAAACAAGGTTTCTGACGGAATAAACGGAGCTTGTGCTCACCTCCCCACCGCCCTCCCCAAGAAATTGAGCTTTACAATTGGATTTAGAATAAAATACTGTACTTGACTCCCAGCATGGGGAGGGTCCAGGATTTTGAGCTAATCCATTGGGATTCATTAGGAAAATTATTTCACCACCTAAGTGTTGATATTACTTCCAACTTGCTCCCCGCCTCCTCTCCACTCCTGGCTTTTGCTCTCCTGTGATTTAACTGCAGGTTCTCCTCTCTCCCTTACATCTGAAGAAGGCTCCACAGCCGAAACATTGTGTCTCTTTTCTTTTCAGCATAACACAGAACTGCCACTTTCAAGACTCACTACTGCAAGATTTTTTTTAACTCAGCTGCAAGTAATGACAAACAGCCCAAGAGAAGTCAAAAGTCAGTCACAAAATCATTGAAGAGGGCTGGTCAAATCCAGACTCTGGCTGACCATGGATGAGGAGCTACTCAGGAAGTCCATGATCGTGACTTCAGGCCATTTCAAGTATTAGACATAGGAAGTGCTAGTGGGGCAGGACACTGTGCAGCTCCCCACAGATGTCAAGCTGCAGATGATCCCCACTGGTAATTCTAGGGTCTAGAGAGGGGGCAGTGTAGGGGGCCCCATAGAGATATGCTTTGCATTCCTAACAAGGAATGTGTTTCGATGACTCTGCACTACTGCACTAGATCCCCGCACTACTGTTTGACATTCACATCATGCCCAAGTAACCCTCTTGTGCAAACTGTAACACTGTAACTGTGAGGGCAGAAGGGGACAACAGTGCAGGTCCCATGAATGACACTGGAGTCATTCCAGTAGGGAAAATCACCTCAGCCTTGAAAGAGGCCAGTTCAGTGGGGACCTTGGAAGGCCGCCCTTGAAGATAAGATCACTTTATTGGCCATATACAATTATCTTGTATTAGGAATTTGTCTTTTCACATACCCCAACTTGCTCTCCATGAGACACACAGACAGGGAGAGAAGCTTGGGGTCAGAGCACAGGGTCAGCCATTTATATGGCGCTCCTAGAGCAGTTGGGGTTAAGGGCCTTGCTCAGGGGCCCAACAGAGAAGAATTTGAACCAGCAACCTTCCAGTCATACAGTAGGTGCAGATCTTTAGCCACAGAGCCACTGTACTGCCCGAAGACATAGAGCTGAGAAAAAAAATGGGTCTGGCTCTGAGGCCTGTTCCAGCTCCTGAAGAACTGTTGTCGCAGACTCTATTAACTCCACGGCAGAAGGTGCAACAGCCATGGCGGCGGTTCGGACATGGCTCGTTGGTCTTGTGGAGATAGAGGCAGAGCCATCTGAAACGCCACCGACTCATGTTGCTTTGATTCTGTTGCGGGAGCTGGCTCGTCCTCATGATAGGATTGATGTAGACTGAGCCCAGGCTACAGCTAGCTGCAGCTAACTTTTCGACCGCGGCTGTTGTAGCACTGGCTGCAACATTAGCTGTAAACTCGGGATCAAGGTCAGGCTCAGCAAACTTGAAATAACCAGTCAAAAGTCTGCTGTGCTTTTTGTTTTTGCGCCCCACTATCATATTTTCTGTCACACATTTTGAGGCTGGCTAAGGTAAACTTGCACAAGTGATCACCTGATGAATCTGCCAAAATACATTTGAACTGAGAACCTATTGCATCTAACCAATCATCGGTTCACAAATTATTCAATATTTTTATGGACAAAAGGGGGCAGACAGATCAGTTTAAAAAAATACCCCGGCCAATCAGGGGCCCCTGATCAATCCAGGGCCCCTAGGCTAAAGCCTATACTAGCCTGTTCGTTAATCTGCCCCTGACTGGCAGGTAATCCATAATTAACTGATGTATGTCTGTTTTTCTTGTTTAAACTGGTTAAGTGTTTATTAAAGGCCTGATAAGACTTTGATGAGGTTTGTAACAGTTAGCATTTTATCTTTGGATTTGTATACATTTTTTATTTGTTTAAAAATGATTCCACCACTACAAGAAATACAAGCATGTCTCTTTAAGGAAGGATGACCCTGGAAAAAGAGGGCCTTTAAGAGGGACTGGGAGAGCTCAGTAGGGGGATGGTGCCTGGGAGGGAAAGTGGGCTGTGAAGAGCTCCTGTGGGCTTTGGTTTGAATTCTATTTGGCAAACACTGTAGGAAAGAAATAAATTAGTTTTCTTTGCACTTTGGTGCTTCAGAGTGTTTGTTAATGAAGCCATACCCAGTCACTTGGCCTGGGAAAGGAGGCATCGCAGGTGATAAAGCATGGGCTGGAGAAGTTAAAGTACAACATGATGGACAGCCAGGTGAGCTAATCCTTCAGGAGAAGGACAGCTTCAGAGCAGACAGGTGTCCAGACCTGCAGCTGGCCTGGTGAGGATGTACTGTAGTAGCTGAGTATTGGGGTAAACCTCTGGTAATAAGCAGTCATCCAGAGGAAGAAAGTGACTTAAGCAGGTGTGGTAGTTTCCAGATGTGCTAAATGGCCTCAATGTTGGGCTGCAGTGGGGTGAGGCTGGCTAATGTTAATCAAAAACCCACAAACCTGACAGCAGCAAAAACATATTTCTCACCACTCCTCAAACGCTCCACGGTAGTGCTCATCATCACTGACAGCTATTGTCCTATGGAGCGCAATGTTGTCAAGGTAGATGACCACCCGTGGGATTCCCACACAGATGGCAGCCTTCTGGAAACAGCTGGGGGAGGAGCTCAGCCCAAAGGACACCCTGGTGTAGCAGGGGACACAAGGAGTGTGACGACAGCTGCGAGGTTCCAGTTGTCATGGTGGTGAGAGATTTGAAGATAACTCTGTTGGAGGCTGGGTTTTGTGAAATCAGTGGAGCCAAAGAAAGTACCTGAGGTGTCTGGTATAACAGTTTTGTTAACTGCTCAGAGTAGTTCCTGGCAAACACCTGGCTTAGTCCTTTCAATGATACCCATTCTTTGTAGTTCTGCAGCAACACCATCATGGAAAGGCCAGTAGAATACACACAGTGGCTGAGATTAAGTTTTATTACAATTTAAAAAAAATAGTTTAAAAAGATATTGCAATAAAAAGCTAAGTCCTGACAATGATTCTTAGAATGTAGAGCGGTACTAAATGTTGTCCCCAATGAAAATGCAACACAGTGTAAACTGCAGTGTTTAAAATCATGTGCAGCTGCAGAGTTCCAGTTCCAGTGGTCCAGAGGCACTATTACCTAGAGAATGTCAATTCAGGATCAAGAAGCTACCATTGGGTGGCATGAGAGTGTAAGGGTGGTTCCACATCTCAGCTTGTACCCTGAGGCTCAGCTCTTTCCTTGATTTTTAAATGTTTTGTCCAAAGTACCGTATCTCTTTTCTTGAGCCATTTTGTGGAGAGAACAGCACCGAGTACAACAAGCATGATCACTGCCATGGTGATGACTGCAACAATTTGAGTCCATGATGTGGTCATAACCTCTGAAAAAACAAAAACGAGAAAATAAAGTAAAAAGCAAATTACCTAGAACAGCAAAGAAATACCCAGAACAAGGGTTTCTTCGAAATCAAGTGTTCTAGATTACTAGCTGATATACCCGGCACTTGGTCATGGATCACATCCTGATCCGTTTCAAATCACATCTTACAGCTGGCTGGAAAGGGGCTGGAAGAAGTGTGTTTTTCACTTCATTTATACAAAATGCCAACTGACATACTGGAAACTGAGCGATTGGCATCAGACTTCAAAGAGAAAATGTACCAGCACTGAAACAACTGAACCAAGGTGCTAATTTTTTAAGTACTTGCTTTATACAGTTTATACATTTCAGTTTATTAGTTTATCAGTTCGTCTAGTAAATAATACAAGGAGGCTAGTTTAACTCAAATTTTCCTGTGCCAAAAACAGTCTTACCTTTCACAGTGAGGGCAACTGTGCTGATGGGGTTTCCTTGAAGGTCCCTCACTGTGTAGTTTCCCTGATCAGCTGGTGTGAGAGAGCACAGTATCAGAGAGCTGTCCTGCACAGACACTCTCTGCTCATACCCAGGGCCAGGGAGACCTGCGTTGCTCAGTATGACTCTGTGAGACTCAGCAGATCCTGCAAGATCAAACAGCACCTCCACTGGATAAGCAGTGTGAAGAGGGAGAGACAGATTATGTCCGGATTGCAGGGTGAGGACATCTGATCGAGCTGAAAATAAAGCTAAAGGGTAAGAATGATGCACACAGCAATTAATCATCTATTGAGTGTTCATTGAGAGGATACCATATTTATCATATTAAAGTCTTAAAACTGAAGCAACGTTTTGCAATACAACATGGTATTTGTTTTCTGACCAAGTCAAATAAAATATATTCAAATACTTTAAAAGCACATAACATCCTTAATGTTACATAATAAATGCCTAATCACATTTAACTACTCCTACTAAACCAAACATCAGATATTGATACTCATGAAAGAAACTACTGTATCAAGTTATACACTTAAGACCCACACCTCACCTCCCACACTGACATGAACAGTGTTTCCTCTCGGAGTCCTGCACTATGTAAGTCACAGCCAGCGAGAGTCTCCTTGGTCAGGTCTAAACCACAGTTCTACATCCTGCTGTGTGTGCAGAGGAACACTGAGTGTCTCCCCGCAGGAGAGACTGGTATTCTCCTTGTGACCTACAAAAGAAATTGAAAAGTGATCAGTCAGCAATACCAGTCAAGTCACATGGTCTTGTCTCACAATTCCCTTTCTCTGCCCTGAAGAATAGCATTATAAAGGATCAGGGAGTAATCTCCATGTCTGATCCTCTCTCTGGACAACTCTTCTCTATTTCCGAATCCAGGGCTAGTGTAGATTCGTCCACTGTGAAACTCCAGCACACGGCAGCCTGCAGTCTGCCAGTCGACATAAATCTGGTCTTCAGTAATGCCACTGTAGGAGCTCCCATCACAGGGCAGAGCAACTGTGTCCCCATATGTTACAGACACAGAGACAAGAGCTAGAGGCACTGGGAAATTACCTGTACTTGTACATTACTTTAAAAATAAAATGCTGACTTTTTTCAGTTTTCAATTTATTTACCTGTAATCATATTTGATGCTTTGTTTTAATACCTTACATAAAACTTAATACCTGTATAGTAAAAAAATAAAATACAAATGGCGTGTACTGTAACCTTTTAATCAAAACATGACATCGTAGGTGGAGACTGATATCTTACCTTTCTGATGGTATTATGTTTAAAAAAATTATTAAAAATGTATATAAAACTACATTCAGGGTATATGTATAAGCTATATTATGAAATGTAAACGGATATCGTGGTTAAACTTGGGTCACATCCCCAAGCTGTCCCATTTTAAAGATGCAAATATAAAAATATTCTGAAATCCGAAAAAATCCTAAATCCGCAACACTTTTGGTCCCAGGAATTTGGGATAAGGGATTCTCAACCTGTACATTCAAAACTTAGATGCCTTTTATAATGTGTTATAAACTGGCCCACAGTTTAACAAAACAAGGAAGGACCCTTTGCTGGTTTCGAGATCACAAATATCCTTATCCACGTAGTAAGGGAAATCCAAGGCCAGGGTCAAGAGGCGAGTGAAAGTCCAGAACCAAAAATAAGATTAGAAATCAAGCACCAGAGATACAAACCAAGAACCAAGATCAGAAAACAGGCCAAAAACCAGAAGTCCAGGGAGTACCCAGCACAGGTAAGATCCTAAGATCAAAATGTTTTAACAATACTGAGTACCACCTAAACGAAGAGCATGGTTTAAATAGGTTTAGGGAGAGGAGGCATGGTGATAAAGGAACACTAAGCGAGCAGGGGTTGACTACTGCTGTTTGGCTAATCTGCGCCTCTGCTGTCCAGAAGAAGTAAGTCCTAGAGGTTGAGGTACCCTCTGTTGGTGGGATGCTGGGACTGTAACAGTGTGGGAACCTTTCTTGGACATTGGTCCACATCTCTCGGCCATACTGACAGAAGAATTTGCACAACGTGATAAACTAGTCTGTATTTATGATGTGTATATCTGTCTCCTGGGGCCATGTTTTCTGTATATATAAAAGAAATGCATGTGTATTTGAGATGAAATAAAATGTGTTGCACTGGATAATATATTAGTTTTTAAACAAACTGATTGAAATAATAATAATAATTGCACTTTTATAGCACTTTTCTGAACACTCCACTCAAAGCGCTTTACAGGTAATGGGGACTCCCCTCCACCACGACCAACGTGCAGCATCCACCTGGATGATGCAATGGCAGCCATAGTGCGCCAGAACGCTCACCACACATCAGCTATCAGTGGGGAAGAGAATAGAGTGATGAAGCCAATTCATAGATGGGGATTATAAGGAGGCTATGATTGGTAAGGGCCAATGGGAAACTTGGCCAGGACAGGTAACACCCCTACTCTTTTCGAGAAATGCCCTGGGATTTTTAATGACCACAGACAATCCGGACCTTGGTTTCACATCTCATCCGAAAGACGGCACCTTTTTACAGTGTAGTGTCCCTGTCACTATACGGGGCATTAGGACCCACATGGACCGCAGGATGAGCGCCCCCTGCTGGCCCCACTAACACTACTTCCATGAGTAGCGTGAAGCAAGCTACACTAAATGACAGGAATGATCAGGAAGTGTATGTAAATAGCCAAATTTCAATCAAAATACAAGCCCTTCAGCTACCACAGTAGCGTATGAGGAGTATAGCAATATTAAGTGAAGTGACAAGCAGCTGAAACACCTGCTTTGTTATTTCTTCGTGGTTAACTGTAATTCCTTGAACATTCTGCCAAATTTGAGAGGGTCCTTTTTTAATTTTAAATCACCTCCACTAATCTCCAAGTTTGACAAATCTAAGATTATTAGAAGGTTTTATAAATTTTACAGCAGCTTTTTTCCATTTATACTACTGTAAAAATTGTCATTGCTATTTTTTTCATAGAAAAGAATGTTTTTTTCTGTTCAATGAAAAAGGTTTTAAGATGTAAGCTTTTAAAGGAGCTGTATCTGAAATTTGTAATTACTGTAAATCAAATCCTTTATTATATTTAAATTCAATCCGTTTTTTTAAACTATAACCAGGGAAAAAAACATTTTTTGCACCATCAAAAGTGGTGAAACATACAATGATAAGACAGTCAGCCAATAGCAAATCACCCTTCTTCATTCGGTTTAAAGCCTTTATTAATATTGTTGGTCTGGGTGGATAACCTCTAGAAAAACTGCAGTGCAGAATTGGATGGGGAAAATTTGTACCTCCCCAAAGGTAGATGGAATCTATTGCACAGACCCTCAGCTAATAGTACATCACCATGGTTTTGTCTGATAAGTGTCTTTGCTAAAGCTGCTGGGATTTTAGAGCACCTCCCATTCCCAGACTGGGACAGTGCGGTGATGGACAGGGAGCAGTCTCACCCCCCTCCCGAACAAAACAAAATTTGTGCTTCTTCAAAAATACCTCAAATCTACTCTACAGACCCTCAGCTAATAAAACATCACCATGGTTTTGTCAGATAGGTGTCTTTGCTAAAGTTGCTGGGGTTTATAGAGCACCTCCCATTCCCAGACTGGGACCGTACAGCAATTGACAGGGAGCGGTCTCACCCCCCTCCTGACCAAACAAACATTTTTGCCTCTCCGAAAATACCTCATATCTACTCTACAGACCCTCAGCTAATAGTACATAACCATAGTTTTGTCATATAAGTGTCTTTGCTAAAGTTGCCGGGGTTTATAAGACTACTTGCTGTTCCCAGACTGGGACAGTGTAATGATGGTGCAGGGAAAAGTGTAAACAACAACCGTGATCCCAACCAAAGTAATGCTGAGACTGAAGATCAAAGTATTGCGACCAAAACCATAGGTGTGACACAGAGTAAGCGTACGATAAAAAAACAGTTCTTAGGCACAAAGTGGATGACTGGCAATGTTTTGAAAAGGCATAAACTGTAATGCATCTGTAAATAACCCAACAAACAAAAAAACAAAGGTGGAGTGCGATGCTTGCAATGAGTGGTTTAACTTTGTGTAGGCATTACACAGAATGACAAAGATATTGAATCTGTGGGGTTTCTGTGTTGCTCAGAAAAATGTGATGTTAAAGTCATGGCATTAAGTCAGATGCAACCAAAAAAAAAGTAACATTGATGTATCACATGTCAGCATTGGTGTTCAAACAGTGATGGATTATCTCATTTTTGGAGCTTATTGTGGTAAGACAGACAATAAACAGATGGTTTCCCAGGATAGGGAGGTCAAGCTAAATGGCAACACAGAAGTGGAAAATAGTATTGCATAGGGCTGGGCAATATGGCCAAAAACATTATCACGATAAAAATGTTCATATCAGTCGATATCGATAATTATCACGATAAATGTCAAATCATTATTTCTAAGTTTAAAGGCAGATTTTTTCTCCTGAGTGAAAGTTGAAGAAATCATACAGTTAATTGGTCCATTAAACAACTCTTTATTTTAAGAACACAACAAACACTTGCCAAACAGCAGAAACATTAAACAAATCTGAGGTAGAGAGTATTCAAGTCTTTTTTTTGTCAAAATATGCATGAGTAAAATTTACAAAATAAATATCTTAATAGAAAAATTAAATACTGCAGTGTGGAAAAACACACACAGAAGATGGCTCAGACAGACTGCAAAGTTTAAGTGCTTTAAAGGATCATATCAGAAGTAGTGGCGAAGAATGGCACTGTTTGCAGCTGCCGCTCTACAATCTCCCTACACTCTGCATACAGCCAGGGAAGTGTAGTCAGTGCAAAATGTTTCCGACCAGGTAGCTCGTATCTGGGGTGAAAGACTCTGATAAGCTTCTTGAATCCCTCATTTTCGACAGTGCTAATGGGAAGCATGTCTTTTGCAATGCAATATGCAACTGCATTTGTGATGTCTTCATGTCTTTTAGTTTCGTAAGGCACGGTGCTCGAAAATGATGCTACTATGGTTTGTTGCTGTGTAGTCACACTAAATACTGGCCTGGTGCTTATAGATGGTCCCCTTCCACTAACAACACTAGTTTGTGACTGTAATTTTTTTACTTTCTGCGTAATTGCTGCGTTCGAACGGGTGATGTTGTTTTAAATGGTGAAATAGGTTCGTGGTGTTGTCTGTCTTTGCTGGCACGGATCTGCGGCACAGTTTGCAGGGCACACTGCTCTGTTTTATGTCTGATCGTAAAAAGCCAAAATATTTCCAAATTACCGAAATTGAATGACCTTTTCTGTCGACGATGTCATCATCCTTCGAGCTGGTCATTGGCAGCACTACATTTGCTTCAGTGTCGCTCATTTCTCCACTCTAACTACAGTCCTGTCAGTCAGTCACCACCATGTGGGTAAACAACACTACGTTAGCTGCCCGGTCTGCAACACGCTCGCTCACTCGCGCAGTATTTTGTGCGCATGCGCATATCATGCGGAAAGCATATTGTAACGCAACGGGGGCTCAGGCGGGCGCCCTTGCCGCATCTGGTCGGCCCCATCCCGACTGGAGGCTCGAACCCGGGACTTCCGCGTCTCTCTGCAGCGACCTAGCCCCGTGAGCTAAAGAGAGATCTCTCCACAGCCCAGTAGCTGTGGTCCTGCTATCACAGGGAAGGGCGGTGACGTCACCCGCTCTTGGTACGCCGGCTCTTACACACAGTGCTTGTCGGCCGTAAGCGTTACAATATGTACCGAACATTTATCGAACTTTTGTTAAAATTATTTCGAGGAAAATTATATCGCGATATCGTTATCGAATTATCGCCCAGCATTAGTATTGTATGTAGTGCATCCGTCACCCAAGGAAACTGTTCCTCATATTATTACTTCTGAAAGGAAAATGCACAGTATGGATGTCAGCAGGAGTGATGTTGATGGTATGAATCTAGGTGGTAGCTGTTACGAGAACACCCCTGAAATTAAAACACACAAGTTAAGGCACCCAGACAGTAGTGGGGACCTGACACTAGGTTGAGAGCACAGTGGTAATTTTGCAAAACCAGCTATAATAACCCAGGAAACTTTGCAGAGATAATTTTATCAGAAAAAAACGAGTTGAAGTTTTTCAGAACCACATTACAAACAAAATCACACTTTTCCCTTTCCCAGCTGCCTTAGTGCAGCATCTCAAGGGAAGGTACTTCAGGAAGTATACTGTACATGGAGCAAAAATCAATCAGACAAATCAATATTGGATCATAATGTTTGTCACACAGGTTTAACAACTGTATTAGAAGATGTTCTAGGAACCACTGTATCTGAAAATACATGGGTACTGTGGTCATAAGTCCTGTAAAATGAATTTTGTTATCACCCCTGAAACCCTGCAAAATCTACCTTTTCAGGTAGTTTACAGAGGGCTGACAGAGAATCCTTGCGAGACTTTAAAAGCAATACCATCTAGTTAACATGAAAGACAGAAGTTAGGAGAGGAAAGGATAAATGTCAGGGTGTATAAATTATATAATGAGTTGCTAGGAAACGTGCAAATTACATCTGGGGTTGGGTGCAGCACATCCAGTCTGAGAAAAATTAAATCTGAACATCAAGCCAATAAGCTACTTGATAGTGACAAACCAGCTGCAGTTCAATTTTTGAAACAGACACCTGAAAGTGGAGATAAAACTAGCAAATATGTGAAAGGATTTATTCAAATTATACTACCTCCACCATTAAAGGTGGTATGTTAAACTGAATCAGGTGTTTGATTGTGGCATGACTTGACGTGCAGCAGCACAGCTTTTTGGGATGTAACACAGGGAATTGTTCAATCGGATTTGGCCAAGAAACAAACATTGTTTTAAGAGGCAATTGTATGCAGTCCTGTCCCACCACATAGGCTGTGCCCATAGCACTCAAAGTGCATTGGGCAACTTTTAAAAGCCATTAGAGATCAAGAAAAGAGGCATAACACACTACCTTTTTCAATTAAAAGTTAACACTCCATAGTGTTGCTCAGAGCATGACTAAATATTTTCAATGGGGACACTATGGAAAGCTATCTCAAAAGGTGTGGGAAAACTGTCAATGGGACTGCACAGGACCATGAATTAAGGCGTACTTTAGTTAGGGGCAGTTAAAGTCATGTTATGATGCATGCTAGTGAACACGTGAACTCTGTAAAAAGCAGTATAGTGGAAAGTGTCAAAGACACAATGTCGGCATGTATATCTTCAGTTTCGTACTTAATTCCACGGGATTAGAAGACCTGTCGCTCATATTTATGACACCTGCATTTTCATGGGTAGTGTATACAGTAACACACTTGTCACAGTGTCTATTTTCAATTTCAAAAGTCGAGTGTCACAGCTGAACACTAGCAGTGTTCCCACTGTTACAGGTCCTGAGGACTCAGATTTTGATTTTGGATGCATATAGAATTTGAATGATTCCATTTCTTCACTGGTCATGTAAAAATTACATTAAAGCAATGGCAGATATAAACAGACAGGAGAACAAAGGGCCCAATGCCTATTTTGGTTCATAACTTTTTTGGGGGAAAGAAAATTCTGTCATCAATCCCCATATGGACGGACATACTAATAGGCAGATTTCAGCAATACCAAAAAATGGACGGACTACATCAATTTCTGAGTTAAAGTTTGAAATGAATGTGTGGAAAGGTTAGGAACTCTTTAAAAAGCACATAAAACTGAATTTTGTGATAAGTAAGACTGAATTTGTCTAGAATGAGTAAGTCTCCTGCCCTTGTGGAAGAGGAGGAGTGGAAGAAGAAAATAAAATTCCACAACATCTCAGGCATTAATTCCAAAAAAACCCTATCAAGACAATCAAACATTTTTAGTCTAAATGATAAACGCAAAACTGATGGTCATCTAAATGATCACAACAAGCCACTTATCATTAAACAGTGGTCTGGAAGTAACGATTTAGCTCTTGTCCACAAACTATTGTGATTCAGATTCCCAGAACACATTCCACTGAGAACTGCAATTGGAATTGGAAGGTGTTGGTAAAGAGCAATGTACTGTATTAAATCAACAATATGCCATGAAGGAAAGTCTATAAGCAGAGGTGAACATTATTGGGCAGTAATTTTAATACAACTAACTTGATATGACACTTAAGACCACATCACCCAACTGGGTACAGTGAGTATCAGAAACCAGCAGAGCTAGCAAAACACAGTCGTAATTTACTCTTGAAGACTTCCTGTTCTTAAAAAATGAATTATACACAATGACTAAAAGTCCATTCTTTATTGAAAACGAAGCCGCACTCTCCTGTATATAAGTAAAAGCATCCACCTTATCCTATGTCGTAGAAGCCTCAAAATCAGTTGATGAATCCGAAAACTTTGACAGTCCAAGCTAGTACGATTAGGTTTGCACGCTTTATCAAAAAAGCCGCAGCCCAAAGAAACTTCCAAAGGCTTAAATTGAATAGTTGGTGGAGGGGATCCCCATTACCTGTAAAGCGCTTTGAGTGGAGTGTCCAGAAAAGCGCTATATAAGTGTAAGCAATTATTATTATTGTTGTTGTTGTTGTTGTTGTTGTTGTTGCCCTTCCGTCCCTGCTGTCATAATAAGATCTTCTAAAGCAGTGGTTTCAACCTGTGGGCCGCGGGAGGTACTGCAGGGGGGGCGTGAAATGATTGTTTTAATCAGCGCCGGTGCTACGGGGGGGGAGTTCAATGAGTGCAATTGGACCCGGGCCCAGATCTAAGGGGACGCGTTGCTAACGTCATTAAAATTAGGTTTTTGTTTTAGAAAAAGACCATCCGTAAAATAAACGAACGAGGGTTCGTAAAGTATGTCTGGGGCGGGGAACGCTGTGTATTTTCCAATAGCAATATTAGTCTGGCATATTTAAAATTAAAACACAATGATCTAGGAAAACACGGCTGTGCTCGTGATTTGTAATTGGTCATTGGCGCGTTCATTCCAAAATATGTAGAATTGGGTAACGCGACCTGTTCCCCCAGCAAGACTGAGTAAGAGACAAGTTTAACTAAGCTATCTTCGTTAATGTGCAACATGAAAGCGATCCAGATATGTAACCCAGGCTGCGAGAAACGCAGAGAACATAAAAGACCCTTAGAGAGGAAAAGTTTAAAAGTGGACTTTATTAGTTGCTTACTGGACACTGTCATCAGTGAGACAGAAGGACGTTTTTCTTTCTTGAGCGAATTCAGCCGTCTTTCTGGCATTTTGTTTGACATTAAAAATACCGGAGATAATTCTACTGAAGTTGCAACGAACTCGCCTTGTTTTAGGAGACGGCGGAGATTTGGCAACTGAATTAAAGTTTCTGTCTCATCTGCGCCCCCAATGAAGTCAACAATACTGCGGTATTTGGTCAATAAAGATATGAAATCCGCTATTCCAGACACAGTGATAACATGTCAAGTTATCAACAATTCCAGTTGCTGTCGTCAGTGCTGAATGCTCGTTTAGCAAACTGAAATTGATCAAAACTTAGTAAACTTTTAAAAAGCTTGTTACTAAGTATCAAGTTCAGTATTTTAGCCCGTTTGAATTCTGCTCAATTCAGGCAGAAGGAAGCCGGAGAAGATTTTTTATACAAAAGTACTTGCACCCGAGCCCACCCGAGCCCAAGTATGGGTTGCGCCGGCCCTGGCTGCAATTGTAAAATAGTCGTAAATATATAACATTATATATAATATAGATAACATAATATAAACATTTCTATATATTGTAGCGTTTTCGAGTTCATGCAGGACAAAGAACAAGTGGAGACGAGATATCGAAACAAGCGACTGCTTTTATTCTCAAATCAAAACCGAAACCAACACAGGATTTACACACACAAAAGGGGACCGACGGAACACGTACACAGTTTTGGGGTGGTAACTCGTTAACAGATGACTACACACTTACAAAGCTACACAGGACACTTAAACTAATATAACACTATTTACATAAGCAGGGTCAGCTGCTGGTGACCGTGCTGACCCTCAGACTCCCCCCAGCTACAACTCCCAGCCTGCTTCGCGTTACCCTGAGTGCCTAGGTGCGCTTCCTCCTCACCACCGGGCAAGGGCGCTACACTGCCCCCACCTGAAGCGTCTGGCGTCCCGCCGACGTCGAACACCCCCCTCAGGCTGTACTCATAATCAGCTAAAGGCTGTGAAACCCTGCTTGAGCGGCCGTTGCACCGTGGTAGCAGCTGGCGACCCGCGGACGCCCCATTGTCGGCAGGCCCTAGCCCTGGCTGCTCCTCCGGAGCCTCCCCGCGGGGCTCCTCCTCTCGGACCCGGTAGGGTGCCAGGCAGTCTCGGTGCAGGACCACCACTCTCCCCCGTGTTCGCAACCGGACCCAGTAGCAGACCTTGCCCACCATTCCGAGGACCTCAGCGGGCCTCTCCCATGATGGCAGGT